ATCGCGTTCTGTTGACAAAAGTAGGTCACTACAGGAGCCCCCCGCTAGAAAGGGTTTACACTTTCGATAGTTAGCGGTTTGATTCGTGGGACTGATCGGCAGAAGTGCGGTTGTAGGACGGGGGAAATTGGCGGAACAGGAAGTGATCGTTGATTCTCGAGTTGCCAACGAAGGTCTTTTGCGCAGAACGGTACCAGGAGAAGTGTGCTGTATTTGTTGGTCGAATTAGCATACCACACCAGAGTGGTTTGTATCCAGAATCTGAAGATTGCGTTCGTAGGGATGTGGACCAGAAAACGCTGCAGACGTAGGACGAAACCACGTTGAGCCAAGAAACCGGAAGCGACCATAAAGACCAAGCGTATGCCAGGCGAATTCGAAACCAGATAATCGACTGAGTGCGTTGACTAGAGCGTGGGTGGCCAAACCAGCTTTCGCCAAAGTTGACTGAAGTCGACGTTATCAAATGGGCGATGGTCGGAGGCGTGGGCTCAGGATACAAAAAAAATCAAAAAAAGAAAAGTGTAGCATGCGTGTAGTATAGGAATAATCCTACACCGTATCCGTTATTGACTGCGTTTAGTCGCGAGAGCGTACGGGTAATCGTACTCGGCAACCGGAACGTAAGACGGTGGTCTCGTTTGTACTTCGTGAACCTGCGATCTCATCCGAGGTCAAGGGCGGCGTGGTCTGCTGATCTGGACGTGAGACGGAAGTCTCGTCCGTAGATGGTGCAGATGACGCGTGCTGTTGACCGGGACGTGAGAACGAGGTCTCTGATGTATCTAGCGTGGGATCCGATGTAGACGTAGAGATCCCGCTAGAAGGTTTGATAGGTCTAGCATTGAGTCTCAAGTTAACGGGTAGGGCACTGTCATCGACGTGTGCTGGTTTGAGACGATCAATGCTGACGATCTCGACGCGGCCGTGTCGATCAACCTTGAAGGTCTTTTCGTGACGAGAGATCACGTGAAAAGGGCCTTCGTAAGGCTGTTGTAGAGGTTTGCGTACCGAATCTACTCGTATGAAAACATGTGAACAGGTAGATAACTCTCGAGGGAGAGCGACCTGTCGATGTTGTATTCGAGTTGACACCGGAGACAGCGTTCGCATAAATGCAGACAGTCGATGGACGTAGTCTGATTTACCGAAATCATTACTGCTCCGTGGTGTGAAGAATTCCCCAGGCAGACGCAATGTCGTGCCGTATACAAGTTCAGCGGCGGAACATTGAATATCTGCCTTCAAACTCGTTCTGATGCCTAAGAGAACGAGCGGTAAGGTTTCGTACCAATTGTCGTTTTCGTGTGCTCGGAGAGCACTTTTAAGTTGGCGATGAAACCGTTCGACTAAACCATTCGATGCTGGATGGTAGGCGGTGGTGCGTATGCGTTCCGTACCAAGCAGCCGGGTCAGTGAGGAGAATAATGCGGACTCAAATTGTTGTCCTCGGTCAGTCGTGACAGTCGAGGGACAACCGTACAATGCTATCCATCGTTCTACGAAGCGGTGAGCAATTGTCTCCGCCGTGATAGACGTGATGGGAATAGCTTCGGGCCATCTTGTAAAACGGTCAATGCACGTGAGTATGTGATCATACCCATGCGATGGTGGCAATGGTCCTGCAATGTCTATATGTACGTGATCAAAGCGAGCATCAGGCGTAGCGAACGCGCCAATGGGTGCAGCTACGTGCCTGTGCACTTTTGATCGTTGACACTGTAAGCATTGCTTTACCCACATACGAACATCTTTATTCATGGACGGCCAGACGTATCGTGCAGCGATGAGACGTAATGTGGCTGCGATACCTGGATGAGACAATCCATGAAGGGCATCGAAGACGAGACGGCGATAGGTAGAGGGTACGATGGGTCGAGGAAGACCGGTAGAAATATCACATAGGATAGTACCTGAGCTAGTAGCTAGGGGTACTTCCTGACACTGAAGGGACGAAGATTGTGGTGCTTCTGTACAGACAGGATCGTTTGCTTGCGCGGCGGCCATAGCAGGAAGATCGAGCACCGGTAAAGTAACTGCATTCGTCTGGATACGTGAAAGAGCATCGGCAACATAGTTCGACTCGCCTTTAATGTGACGAAGGTCTGTCGTGAACTGTGAGATATAGTCCAAATGTCTGCACTCTCGTGGTGAGTGGCGGTCAGACTTGGTATGCAGGGCATACGTTAAGGGCTTATGGTCGGTGAATAAGATGAATTGACGTCCTTCTACTGCGTGCCGGAAATGTTTGATGGCGCAGTAGGCTGCAAGCAGCTCGCGACCAAAAGCGCTATATCTCGTCTCCGTGGGAGTAAGGCGTCGTGAGAAAAATTCAAGCGGTTGCCAACTACCGGAGATATTCTGTTGCATAACGGCTCCTATAGCGAAATCTGATGCATCAACCGCTATACTAAGCGTGGCTGATGGGTCAGGATGAGCGAGAAGTGTAACTTCAGCGAGAGCCGTTTTGATCTCTGAGAATGCAGTACGTGCGGTATCGTTCAGTTCTAATTTGCGTGGATTACCGCGTAGTAAATCGGTTAATGGTCGTAACCGTTCTGCCGCGTGAGGGATGAAACGTCGGTCGAAGTTAACCAAACCGAGAAAAGCCTTCAGTTCCTTGATTGAGGACGGCACGTTGTACTCCTTGATTGCTCGAATTTTGTCCTCGCAAGGCAGAATACCCTCTTGTTTGATGATGTGACCCAGAAATATTATTTCTGATTTACCCAATTCGCATTTCTCTGGGTTGACTACTATTCCATTATCCGAAAGACGTTGGAATAATAGCGTAAGGTGTTGATAATGTTCATCTACGTTTGATGATGCGATCAGCAGGTCATCAATATAGACGTGAACAAAATCCAAGTCTCGTACTATGCTATCGATAAACCTTTGGAAAGTTTGAGCAGCATTCCGTAATCCAAATGGCATTCGTAGGAACTCAAACAGACCGAACGGAGTCGTGATAGCAGTTTTCTCGATGTCTTCAAGAGCGACTGGGATCTGGTGATATGCTCGTACCAGATCGATTTTAGAAAAGATAGTCGTGCCCTTGAGCGATGCCGTGATGTCGTGTATGTGGGGGATGGGGTAGCTATCAAAGCGCGTAACTACGTTTAATGCTCGGTAGTCGCCGCAAGGTCTCCAACGAACCCCATCCTTTTTGCGCACCATATGTAAAGGAGAGGCCCAAGGACTGTGAGAAGGACGAATAATACCAGAAGATAGTAAATTGTCAAACTCACGTTTAGCGAAAGCTAATTTGTCCGGTGCCAGTCGGCGTGGTCTTGCCGTGACTGGTGGTCCGCGGGTGACTATGTGGTGTACCACACGATTGGTCACCGATGAAATCTCCTCGAGTGGTTTAGTTAATCTGGGGAACTTCTCGAATAAGGCGTGGAATTTATCGTCACGCGAATAAAAAGTTCCGAGGATTCGGTACGCGTTTGTGTGAGCTTTAAAGCCCATGAATTCGCTGTTCGACGAAGTATCGATTAGCTGCAGCCTACGTGAATCGACTAGCTGCCGTCGATATCGACTTTCGGACGCGACGTTGAGGCAACTACGTAGTTGTCTCGATTGCCAGTCCTAGCTAGAATTTTGTCTGCTGTGAGGGCTACCTGTTTCAGTGGTGCGTCCTCGAGCAGGGCCGTAACTGTAGGTTGGATAAATGCTGGTAGAGATTCGAGCCACAGTTCTTTAACAATTTCAGAATCGGCTGCCGTGGGTCCTGCAAGAGATTGCAGGCGCGTGAGGTGGTGGCTCGGTTTAGCATCACCCAGGGGGTGACGTGCTAATAACGTCCTCAATCGTTCCTCCCTCGATGGAAGGAAATGTCTGAGGTCCGCCTCCTTGAGACGATCGTAAACATTGGGCACATTGGAATTGAGGACAACCTCACGGACAGCTACTAAATGGTCTCCCGGTAAACATTCGAGAGCGTAAGTGTACTTCTGCCGTTGGCTTGTAATATGACGGGTCTCAAATTGAGACTCTATGGCAGCAAACCAAACTTCGGGATCGTGAGGAATAAAAGATACAGGTCGAAAGTGTATAACCTGTACGTCAGAGTCTATTACGTTAATATTATTCTTATCGTTATCCGTCATGTCAAATATATATATTAAAAATTAATATGAAAATATATGACAGACGTGGATAGATAAGCGATAGACTCACCAAAATTGACTTCTTTGGAAGGTTTGGTTGCGGTTGCCAAGTGGTCGTAGATGTAGGTTCACCAGTTGCAGAAGATTTGACCGAAGGTGAGGCGTGTTCCAAAATTTGGCTCACCAAATGTAGCGTGGTGTCGAGTTGAGCTGAACTATGAACACCGCTACCAGACTACTTGCCAATAGACCAATAAAATTCCGATAGGCCAAAATATCAGAAGGCAGATGATTGTAGTAGTCGTATATATTTGTTGGCGATCTCGTGGTATCGAAAGAATACCGAGATCGTGCCAAAGGAGTACAAGCGTGGTTACTGAGCGTAACCGGATTCGTACAAGTTCGAAGTCAACGGGAGAGGAAGTATAATGGCTGTAATTAGCACAGTTAAACAAACGAGCACAGTAAAACAGTCACTGGTACAATTGGTTATAATAATAATTGTTTTCATCGAACCGATCGCGTTCTGTTGACAAAAGTAGGTCACTACAGTGTATTGAAAATTTCCTTCCCTCTTAATATGAATAAACTCAGAATTCTAATGGTGAATAGCAGTGATACCGGGTCCACCATGCTCTTTCTGAAAGCTTCTATCTTCAAACTTTCCATAATTTAGAAGGACTTGCCATCATCCTTTTTGTTACTTTAGATACCTCTTCGAATTTGCAATCTGCATTCAATTAGGTACAATACTTTTGGAGTTTCTTTCAATAAAAGTTGATTGACTGACTGTAGAGTTGTTCAAAACTGTTTTCACTGTTTGCCCTACTCAAACACAGATCCTAATGAACAAACAGTTCATGAACTCAAACAAGCAAAGTTGAAGTTTGAAAGCTCTAAGTGTACCGCTAAAGGAAGTGTTATTTTCAAATAGCTCTTCCAGATGCCTGTTGTTCATATGTCCTCATGTATTATTTCATATCTAATTGTGTTAACTTGCCGAAAAAACTCACCCATAGCTATCGGAAATCGTTCGAAATTCTTTCGTAAGTCCTTTAATGTGGTGTTTTACCATGTGTACATAGACAAATGCTACAGGAATGCGTTATCTTCTACTTATCCTTTATTTCCATTGTTATAATAAGGCTTTCGCACATGGATTTTATGTTAAGCTAGTACGAAAATAGCTCGTTTCTACCAATTCTAGCTTGGCGTGCAATAGCGGTAGGACTAAAATCCTATCTTGTCGTTCTCTCGATGACAATTTGTGTTTTATGATATAAATGGATTAAGATTTCATTCTATTTAAACCCAAATCTTCATTTAAAATAACCTCGATTTCTCGACTCACTGCAGACATCCTGTTGTGTAAAGGCTTAGGGGAAATTATACGTGGCATTTTGCGTTTAGTTATATCAATACAGCGAGGACGTGTCCAGTTCATAGCCAGATAGTTTGGTCTTAAGTACAGATTAATCATTCCAAATTCTAAGGTCATACACTTGATAATGCTTCATCTGCGGTTTTTCTTAGTATGCGTCTATCCTAGTTTCCATGTGTTTGTAAAACTTTCGAAAGTTATCTCGTCTGTCCATCGATGCTTTCAAGTCTGTTTGTTTCCTGGGTTAGGTATCTATCATATCCTTTCAGTCAAAGCCCCTCAGTTTGGTTCTTAAGGATGTTCGCTCATCGTGTCTGTCTATACTGTCAAACACCATCAAACTGCCAAGAGATACCTTTACGTACATACGAACACTGCTTCACCTATTCCGATTCGTCTAGCTGGGTAACATCACTAGTGGTAACTAAACTCGTACTATGTAATCGAGTTTAATTATGTTGCGTGTTTTTAGAGTACAAGTTCTATATGATGACTTGTAATATGGTTGAGCATGGAGTACCAAGTACTGGTAACAAAATGGTTAGAAGAGCTGTTCATTTTTATTGCTCAAGAAGGTCTGGATTTTGGTCAATTATATTTCCTTTTCCATTTATCCCAGCGCACGATAATGATTGGGATAAAAATAAGTTAGGGAAAATCACAGAAATTCAAAGCAATATGTGACATGTTAAGGTGCGAATATCCCGGGACAGGATCACACGATTATTGTAACTGATAGTTGAGTACGTTGAGTAACATAACTTAAAATCAACAGTAGTTACGCAAATTTGTCTAATCATTAGTTTCCCTCAGGTTTTGAATTTTAATACCAATGTAATATGCTCGACAAGCTAAATTGTTCCATCCAACTAAATTATTTGCTTTCACTGTCTTTTACTATCAACAATTTTATTGTTATCGCTTCAACTTTTCTGATTCTCATCATGGCAATTCCGTGCTTTTGTGTTGGTGTAATGTGGATACCTGAACTGATGTACATTCGATCCAGATGCGATATCGTATCGAAGTGACTAAGTAAGATACAACATAGTTGGGCAAAGGTGAGAAACATCTGGTGGTGTGTTGCCCAGAATATGTACTTTCTATTAAATATAACTAGAAATTCCTAGCTACGTTTCTAGAGGATGACGTAACTGGAACTAAATCGGAATCTTATTTCCTATGCAAAAGATAGTTATGATTTCCATCCTATTTTTGCATGTCATTGGCCTCAAGAATCGTTTAAAAAGTGACCTGTTGAATATGATGAACACTTGTCAGAATGAAAAATCCTGTTCTCTCTTTTTCAATGGATAAAAACTCAAAGTAATTATCCATGATGTTATTTCTTTCAGGTGCAGGCGTGCAGTATAACTAAGAGCTTCTCTAGTTATGGTGAGAAATTTTAGAGGTTTGGGGGAAAGATCTTGATTTTGTGTAAATTAGGTGTTTAATAATTTCATGGAATTCTGTTTTCAAATCCGTTTACGTAAGAGGTTGGCTATTAAAACCATATATACATTGCAATGTATCTGTTGTTAGCAGCAGGGTTATTTGAAGGAAAAATACAGTCATTTTCTCCAAAACCGTGACCAATCACGATTGGGTTTCATACTAATGAATATTCACTCGTTCACTAAAACAAAACCAGGGCAACAATTTGTATAACTTGGTATATGTTAAACCCATCAAGACAAGTACACTGCCTAGTAATGCACGTAACTCCCCGTACGACTTAAAGATCGTTGACGGCGTGTAGCTTGTAAAGTTTTGATAGTTATTATTAAAGTATTTTACATTTTTGTTAGAACTGGTGGGTTAGAAATACTAAAGTTATGCAATGCTCCAAACCATGAGGATGATCAAGTTGAAAACATTCACAAGATAAGGTTGTTTAGTTGTGCTCTGAAATCTGTCGATAGTCTAGTATGTTATTTTTACAGCAGTGTCTAAGACGAACTAGTCTTTCTCAACTTTTGTCAAGCTCTATCTACGTGTTCGATAGTTATGGAACTTATTTTTCTAGACAGTCAAACTATTGTATCTTCAGTTGATATAAAGAGTGAAAAGTTAATCATAATAGTTAGACATTAGTTACTTTGGCAAGCGATTGACCTATGGTCGTAACATTCTTCAGTTGCTTATTTGTCAAATGAATTCCAATCATGTGTGTTTCTGAGTAAAATTTTCTGCATATGACCATGTTATTTTATTAGAATAAAAACCCTGTTCTATTGAACAGCTTGCTTTTTGGTATCAGCTCATTTAGGGTGTATGTCAATTATTCGGTCTCATGACCAGTTATCACGTGATAAAATTGCATCACTGCATATTATTCATTGATCAGCGCACCTTATACATTAATACAACAATCCCTAAACGTTGTTTTTTTCATTTGCGAATCGTTAAAGCTAATTCGTAACTGTAGTTTTCACTAAAATATTTCTGTTGTTTCCTATAAACTAGGGACTTCCAGTAATCAGAACTAGTTTGTCACAATTGCGTTCATCTCAAACTTGAATTTATACCTTCTCTAGCCTAACAGTTAGATTTCAGACGTACACCCATGATAATTCCTGGATTTAACTCATCCAGATCAGCTTCTATTCATTACTTTGAGTTAACAGCAAGCTCATGTCAGATAGTCTTCTCAAACAGTGAGGTCATAAGCCATACCAAATTAACAAATATAACTGCTTTAGTTTTGATAGCGGTGTTTTATAATCTGCCGGAAAGTAAAGACTTGGTCAACTAACTTTCTCGTATTTGATACATATTTTTTGAATTCCTTTAAATCTTAAGTGACTACTAAACAAACGGTTTGGTGCGGTGACCATATAGAAAAATCTTTGAAATCATCAATAATCGAAAATAATTTACCAAAACTATCTATTGTTTTCCCAACCCTTTAGTAACGTTACTTAGTCTAGTAATTGCTGATCATCACTCTTGAAGGATTTTAAAGTAAACTATCACATCCCAGTGTTTTAATTTGCTTTATGTTTGTCACTGCATGCCTAACTTGGATGGGAGTTGAATGACAGTAGCCATATTCTTCTTGGAAGCTGATGCATTACCAAGGGAGTAGAAATGACTCCTAGTCAACCGAAAATTTCTCCAGTTTACCATCTAATACCAAAAGACGTCACTACCACAGACACCATATGAATTCTTTTTCATTTTGTTACTTGCGTTTCTCTGTGTTGGGATGATTAGTGTAAATTAACGTGCATTTATACCATACCCTACGTTATGGCTGTCTGATGGTTTTGGAGTTTATTGATGGCCATTATCGCTCAGAAAAAATGGACTTTGATTCAGGTGTTACGTTCTGAAGTCACAGTTTCAAACTTAGCGTTTGATCATCTCCACTGTTAAGAATGTCAGATATTTCAGACTTGTGTTCGCTAACTCAATAGGTAGTCCATTTTTGCAAATGGTAACTACAGAAAACCAAACGGGGCAACCACTATTTTAAGTGAGTAATGTAGTCTAACACCCCAGTTCGTCGTGTTTCTTTTCCAATGGCCGCCTTTCTGAATCAGAAAGGAGGAAAGTGAACTACGTTTGTTTGCAATCAAATTTATGTTGACTAATTAAGCCAGTCACTGTCGTTTATTTATGAAGGGTTATTCGAAATTTATCTCCGAGTAAATATTAAATCTTTACTGATTGGTCACAAAGTAATAACTAGTGTCACGTTTCCTTAATACCTATTCTATCAATCTTCACTTTGGTCACTAGATACTAAGACTGCAACAAGAATAGGCAAACTTCATTGTAAAAGCGAAAATCTGTTCTAATGTTACCATCGAGGTTTCATGTGTTGGGTATAATTGACTGTTGTCAGTTTGAAGAAAACCAATCGTTTTAGAGTAGCTCAATCATTTTTTGTTCCCAGATTTGTAACACCGTAGTCAGCACTGAACCCCAATAACAAGACACTAGTCTTAGTGACTAAAGCCCACACGCTACGTTTTCATGTATAAAATTTACGGTAGTATTTAAGGGTGTTCCCAAGATCTCAGGATATTTAGCAGCAATTTAAAAATCCATGAATATATATACGTTTGAGAATACTTGGGACTTGTTTTTTAAGGGAATATTTATCCCTAAAATACCTTGAATTGGGTCCCAATTAGTTCCTATTCAGTGTTCCGTTTTGTTTATTCTTTTCGTTTGTAGATGGCAGAAAACTGGTCAATCGGACCTACAGTTCATTTTGGTTCACATTCGCTTCTTCCCTCCACTGACCTTCAAATATTGTGGGACCTACTTCAGTGTAGGGACTGCTGGTTCAGACGCATTTATCACCAACTTGCTGCCAACGAACTTCGGTCAAATTCAGTTGTGGCACTAAGCCCTCGAAAAAGTTTAGTCCCCTCTGTTCCCTTCCATAGTCTTACGAGAGCGATCCAAGCAGTCTTACGTGGTTTCAATCTAAATCGTAAATGTTCATCAAAACTACACACGAAAGCGACCAACTTAGCATCATTTCTGCATTTACATATAAAGACTAGTTATCACCATATAACTGTAGTCAGTACCAAATTCTGCATCAAAAGACAGTATTGGGTCTGCCCTTCTCATGGACGTCGTCTGTTCGATTTGCTATACTGTAGTAGCGACTTTAGTATTCCGGAGCGGGAAGATGGGTTAGACCTCGATTTAACTATTCGTTCAATAATCCCTAAGGGTCAATCTGATTTCTTTCGATCTGTTCAGCTTTCAAGCTCCTCAGATGAAAGTGATGAACCGGAACAGACTTTTTCTGTTCAAATCCGCACTCCAGAGCTGTATATAGTAAAGCCAAATCCAGAAGGTTCCCACAATCATTTGTCTACAAAGGCATGTTCCACGGAACCCAAAAAATTCATAAGCAAACAACTTTATGAAATCAACAGGAAATGGTCGTTCAAATACAGTGTGAATAACTTAAACCATAAACACCTGTGTAGTGAAAACGATGCTCGACATACTTTTGATCCTCACTACAATGAAAGAAAACTAGATGGTCCAAAACATGTGCATTTTCCTAGGGGCAACCCTATCTCTGCTGTGTACAATCTTTATACATATGCTACAGCAAGCAGGTTGGAAAGGTCTAATCGTATTTGGGAAATAGAAGCAAGGTCTCGCTACTTTGATCGTTTGAAGTATTTAATATCAAATGGTTTCGAGGCTGACCTAGCATCCCAGTTGGCAGGAGATGATGATGAATCTATGGAACTTCACTCTAGTGTTAATAAAGCTCTTGACAATAATGCATGCAAACAAGACAATCTCAAACCGACCAATATAATATCTAAGCGTTCAAAACCTCGACATCGCAAACGTAATCGAAAACGTGGGTCCAACCCAGTATCATTGTTATCTTCACATTCACATAATGCAACTGACCCTAGTATTTCAAGAAATAAAATTGATGATAACTATCAGAAATGTGTGTCGCTTGCACAATAATTATCAGGTTAAGCAGATGTCTTATGAGCTTTTGTCTCTATTGTACAGTTTTCATTAAAATCTGTGATATCTGTCAGTGATTTCATTGCACGTTATTTTTATAGAGAATCTTATTAATTTGATATAAACTACTGTCCTGACTTGTCATTGTTTTCAGATTTTTATCTAGTGTTAGCTTTCTTAGACTAATCTATGTTAATCTTCTAAAACTAGCTGTAAGGACCGTTTTTTCGTGTCATTAACATAGAGATGGTTTTGCTCGCGAAAAGTGTAATTAGTTCGGTTATAAGTAGTTCTTAGCGGTATATTGAATTAAGGTATTAGGTAATTCTTTGACTCTACCTGTGTCTTGATATGTCATTAAGTCAGTGACGTCTTGTAATAAGTGAAACAAATTTTATGGAATTAAACTAAATTATGTTTTCCACTCATCTAGGATACCAGAAATGAAAACGTTTTATAGCACTCCAATTTAGTGTCGAAGAACGAATCAGAGTTTTACTGCATATTTGAATAGCTGATAGACAAATATTTGAGTTATAATAATATTAATTATAGAGGTTTCACACTGTTGCACAACATGACATTTAGCCCATAATGCGTTGTATGCTTGTGTTTATTTCTACTGCAAATATGACATTTAAAATCTTGCGAGCTCAACAAATAAATTCGATAGATCGAGACCAATAAGCTTAGATTTGACTCATGAACGATATTGTTACGCGAATACAGCAAGTCGACTGTGGTGTTTCTCTGCTCAACTGTACATTATTTTCTGTAGTTGAAAATCTGTTTGAAGTTGGATGAACAAGCTGTTGCCTTAAAGACTACTTAATTTGTGTCTGCCACTTCATTCCCCCTTGAATTTATCTATATCTTAAACATCCAGCGTACTGACTAGGTATCTCAAACGGACTCGTTTTCTTTTCGGAGCAAAATATTTTATATAACTTTAAAAATTTGAGTGCTTTATATATATATATATATATATATATATATATATATATATATATATATATATAAAGTCACCTGATAGCTTAGTGTATAGAATTGTCAATCTTCTACAAACAAGTAACTAAAGGTGTGATACATACTTACTGTGTTTGCAAAGTATTCTAGTAATTTTGTTTTCACGCACTAGGAAATCGTAACATAGAGGTGTTTTTTTCGAAAAAATATGTAAGTTTTTGTTTTTACGTGATAAAGATCATTAAACCCTACATATTTTGATTGTTGATGTAGGAGTAAGTTGGGAAAATTACCGACATTCAAATCAAAATGTGACTCATCAAGTCAATTTGTCCCATCCAACTAAATTATTTGCTTTCACTGTCTTTTACTATCAACAATTTTATTGTTATCGCTTCAACTTTTCTGATTCTCATCATGGCAATTCCGTGCTTTTGTGTTGGTGTAATGTGGATACCTGAACTGATGTACATTCGATCCAGATGCGATATCGTATCGAAGTGACTAAGTAAGATACAACATAGTTGGGCAAAGGTGAGAAACATCTGGTGGTGTGTTGCCCAGAATATGTACTTTCTATTAAATATAACTAGAAATTCCTAGCTACGTTTCTAGAGGATGACGTAACTGGAACTAAATCGGAATCTTATTTCCTATGCAAAAGATAGTTATGATTTCCATCCTATTTTTGCATGTCATTGGCCTCAAGAATCGTTTAAAAAGTGACCTGTTGAATATGATGAACACTTGTCAGAATGAAAAATCTTGTTCTCTATTTTATTGAATAAAAATCCAAATTTTTTCTTCACATTAAATAAGCGATTTTATCATATCTGTGTAAATTAAATCATCTTATAACATAACAATGTTTTTTGTTGTGCATTGGTTTTTAGTCGGGCGGTAGATTCAAATTTGAAAACAATATCTTTTGTTTTTAGAACTATCATAGAAGTAATTGCCTTAAGGGTAGTTGAAAACTCCAAGTCATGGAATTGATTTGACCTCCATAATCCTATTATTCCTAGCGTGCTCTACATAATCCAATCACCTGCTTGTTATCTGTCAAAGTGGTTTGTTAAGGTGGCATATACAGTGTTCAATTATTTTACATCAGTATCCTGCCAACAACAACTTCGTTAATCATCATTGCTTGATTGCTACTAGGCGTGCTATTGAGTCGAGGCACGATACATGAAACTTGAGAAGTTACCCTTTGTCTAATTGCTTGGTTATTGATCAAACAGTTACTTGGTTTTATTTTTTTCGAATCTAACTACAAACCACCTTTTGGTTCACTGATTGTCGATCTTTTCTTTTACTATTAAATAATTACGGTCGATTAACCGTTAGTCTGCTTTGAATCGAATATGCCATAGTTATGTATATACTGAAACACTTTGTGGTTTGTTTTGGTATTATATTTTGTTCGTATAATCATATGAAGTATGGGTACTAGTAATCAGTTATCTGGCTTTCTATTGTGTATATTTTTCTAGCTTATGGTAATAGAGATAATGGCATGGGCAAAAACACAACACATACGGTTTGGGCTGTGATGTGTGAGTTTTTCGTAATACTTTGCTTTGGATGTTTGACCCACTCGACAGTTTAGGTTTTCTCAGATTAAAACACATTTCTATGAACGAAGAATATTCTTTTCAATAATTTCTCATCAGGTTCTACAATTATAAATCCAAATCAATAATCCATAGAATTGGCCAGATTTAAGGCAGAGTACATCATTTGGAAATTGTAATATTTAAATCAAAAATTGTTATTTATTATATAAAATCAAATCAGATTGTTAACGTTGGAGCTGACTAATATGAAGTGTTAACTTGAATCTTTTTATAAGCGAAATGAAATTGTGCGATAAATAATCAGAATAAATTAGATGGTGCTTGGAGGTAGTCGACAGCCATCACAACAACAACCACCATTTAATCTCACAATAGTGCCCGCAGTGTCGAGTCACCTAGACTGGTGTCCACATTGGAACATGGTCGATAGCATTCGATCTGCACTAATAGTAAAGATTAGACACGCATGACATTGGTCACCACCCAGTGATCAGTCAATTGTAATCAGAATAAATATGGTCAACATGGGGTGAGATAAAAAATTATGGGGTAAAAATCGTAGATTGCGTAATATATGGAATAATATGAATTAGGTCAGATATAGTAGATTTAGGGGTGGGCATTGAATAAACTCAAAAAGGTTATCAAATGTAATGATAATAAAAATAACAATGATAATCACAGTCGTAAAGATAATAATAAGTTTGGGACATAAAATGAAGATTAATCAAATTGCGTCACCATATTATAAAATTGATTATTAAGTAGTTGGCCAAGGTAAAAGGAGTGGCTGGACATACTTCTTTTGGATGCAAAGCTCTGGGTTTTTGGTCCGAATGGCAATTGCTTCAGCCGTCTGTAGGATTCACAGTCTGACGGAATTAGGTAGACTGTCGTTGACACGATAGATTATTGTAAAAGATTGCTCCATGTTGGCCGTATGTCTGTTTTTACTTAACGGGTAGGAGGTTGTGAGACAAACCAACGGTTTCGTTATAACCGTTGACAACATTTTGATTTAATAAATCAAGAATAAACTCGCACCTATGAACAAACAGTTGGCTATATCTGCTAGATGGGACTCATACTTAAGTTAGTTTAAATGATGAATCAAATTGTACTAATTGTCCCTTGAGTTCATTTTATTCAAAATCTTAGGCTATATAGTGTTAAAATCAAACAAACTCAAACTTTAAATATGGGGAATCACACGCCAACCTAATATATGACGTCAAAATTGCTTCTTGATTGGGCCAAAGATCAGTTAGGGTTCCTTCAGATCCTTACATATTCTGTAGTGAACGAGGACACAGGCGGATACAACTACATACATTTCAATACGAAATTACAGTATGTCTTAGTCGAATTTGAGAACCATACAATAAACACTTCATTCGCAAAATGTCAAACAACCGTCTCAAACTTCATTGTTCCTTTGTTTCCACAGCAATCATCCTCTTCCCTTTGTTCTCAACTTTCGGGCTCCAGGCATCCCGCTTTCGACTAATGACACATACTACTTAAATCTGTCTATATCAGTAGCACACCACAACTGTAATAACTTTAATAGGAAAGCCTATAAGTTTCTAGCTGTATGAGTACTAAAAATAAATCAACTTCATAATAAGGCTTTAGGATTTATTGCACGCTTATAAAATTACAGATTCTTAAAGGGGTTATGTGTTGATCGGTACTGGTTAGATGTTGATTGTCTTGTATAACAAGTATTAAAGCAGTATGTTTATCTGGTATCACTTGATTTAACTTCCACTACATGGACAATTAAGAATCAACATTTAAACTCACAATCATAGCAACAATCACCTCCATTAAGTTCGTTAAATGAATACTAAGATCTTCTCACACCTAATTGTACATCTGACTTTAAACAACGTACCTGGTTAAGGCTAATGCTTTGATAGTATATCTAGATTATAGCTAGGAGTAAAAAGCAATGCAGGTTCCTTTCATTTTGAGACTTCTCAACTCGGTGTGTCTACATCCCGGTAGTGTTGTTCACAGCGAAACTTGAACTCAGTATCTTTCGCTTCGAAAATATACAGTTCATCTTGACTTGTTTCTTTTACTTTTGTGCTTAAATTTCTCTCGTTATTGTTATTATTCTTAACTTTGCTTCATTTTGCTGATATAGATTTCCTTAACTTATAATCGTCCATATCCCTGGTATAGCAATTAAACTCTAGACGTTGGTTAGAATTATCAACGATAAACAACAACCGTTAAATATTTTGAGAGATATATTGTAGAAAATATCTGCATTATTAAGCATACATCAGACTCCAAGAGAACAAAATATAACTTGTTATATACTTCATTCGACAAACATGCAACTGAAATGATATACATGATTTTTCATTTTCGTCGGAAATTACATTTGATCTCTTACAGATTTTGTAGTTCTTTTGTATTCGACCACTTTCAGTACAACTATTCGAGTAACAAATCTCACTAATTCATATATGTAGTTTGTGGTGGACACAAAAAATAATGAACCAAAAATTAATAATGAAGTTATTATGTTCAAAAGTTAATGTAACAATAACAACTTATAAATTATTAAAACAAAATAAAAGTTCAGAGACATTACTCAAATCACCTAGTTGTCGCGTTTTCCATTGAGTTTGGATACCAAAAATCCACAATTATAGATGAATAACAACTTTGATGAGGTAAATATGACTCCAGTAGTTTACTTGACGTAGGATGTAATAGTAATGATAGGGCAGTTTAAAATGGTGATGATATTCGATTTAGAATGCAATCGGCTCGATAACAAGTGAGAATAGAACAAGGAGTGTGTGTGTAGTAGTGTATTTGCGAACAACCATAAGTATGTCACGCTATGATAGTATCACAACGGAAAAAGTGTTCAAGGTCATTTACTAAAACAACAGGTACAATGATTTAATAATAAATGTACATACAGTGAAAGATTGACAAAATAAATACAAATAATATTAAAAATTATTTGCAAAATAAGTTTGACAGACCTATCTCCACAAGTTAATCGGCACATACATTATCAAAGAACCGTTGATTGCATGATTAAAATCTATTGTCAACAGACGTTTTACTAAAAGAACTAAAAAGTATTTTGAAAATATTTTTAATAGACATGGTATACAATTGATGCCCAAAAATAGTCACTGTTCCTAAACCACTTAGAATGCTGACTCATTCGATAATCAGTAAAGTATATAGAAGGAGATAAAAAGAAAAGAATTCTGAAGAACTTGTATAATTCTTTCTTAGATTTTCCGTTTAGAAAGTGAGGTGTTTAAAACGTCTATTGGAATAGAAATTCAGTGATATCTTTTTCAAACCTTGTTTATGTGGATATTCTACGTAAATGGATTAGTAACTCATATTTTATTACGATTAGTATTCAGTGGTTGCGGTACGAAATAGTCAATTAAGAACAGGGGTTAATGAAATTACTTAAATTTAAGAAAAATATTGTTATTATACTCTAAAAAGTTAACAAGAGTCCAGATGTCTTCAGCTAAAAAAATTAACTCAGAATCAGGGATGAGGCAACACTGAATGTAAAGAAGTGAAATAAGAATTGTGTATGTAAAGTTATCGATGTATCAAACATTGAATCCGTAAATATTTGGCGTAAAAATCCTAATACTAAAATTTTGTTAGTAGCGCGAATATGTTACGTTAAATATAATAATGTAATCTAAAAATGCAGTTATATTTCGATATGGTATAAAATCAACAGCAAAATCAGGACATACTCTTAGACACTAGTTCTGTATTTACTAAATACATTTAAGAAAGAAATTATTTCCATTTACTCTGAAAAGTTCATTATGAAAAAACTCCAAAATCTTTCATTGATAAGTAACAGAGGATAAACAAATATCAACATACTTTATTCCCAATTTGCTATACTGCGATTTTGAGTTGACCATATTTCTTCAACGATTTTGTCAAATATTCGAAGTATCTGATAACGCATTTAACGAATTCTTCCGAGGAAATTAGTGTTACTAAAAGATGACACTGTAATGTATTTATTTTGTCCAATAAATTTTTTATAAGGTGATGATAAGTTGCAGACAGTTCCTTAGATGAAGATAGCGTTAAACAGAATTTGAATTTTTCTCATATACTTGTAATATTCATGAGCTAGACAGACAGCTCAGTGAAATGATCCTGGCAGTTTTGGTTAATCATAGAATAAACATTATCATAAGAAATTCAATGCAGAAATACTAATGAAACAAAATCTATTGGTTTCCAATTCAATAAATGATTATTAAAAAAACTACAAAAATTAATTGAAATAATAGGATTTTAACCAGAGAGGTTTGTAGATTAGGAGATACACTTTCTCTTATCATTCTATTTGTCTAGCAGAATAAGTGTAACGATGACTATTTTACTAATGACCATATATCCTGCGAATATGATTAGAAAGGAACTGAACATTGTAATCAGATACTCTCAAGGAAAATAAATACTCTGGGACGTTTATGAACAGTTACAAATCCATAGAAACCAAAAAAATATTGGAGCGGCAAACGATTAGTTACCGTTTACTAGCATATGATCTTGAAGTTTTCATCTATTAAGGTACTAATTCTAAATATTATCCAACACATGACTCTGACACAGAAAAATATATAGAACATCTATCTAGATCAGATACTTATTTTCGTACTTATCAATTTAACCATCCACTTGGAATAATTTTTATTGAAAGTTCTTCATCCTTCAATGCTTTATGCTCACCAACAGCATTTAGAGTGCCTAAATAAGTGTCTAGCTACAACTACAAATAATATTATCTCAGTACATCTAGTTTAAAATAACAGTGATACCTATTATGGTAAAAATAATAATCTAC